TTGTTAATTTTTTTAATTTTATTTTACATATATGTATTTGTGTTTTTTTTATTAATATGTATAATATATATATATATATATATATATATTATATTTATATGTGTTAATGTTTTTATTTATTTATATATATTATAAAGATTATATATATTAATATTTTTATTTTTTTTATTAATGTTTTTTTATTATATATTTATATGTATATATATGATATATATTAAATAATAATGTGTTAATGTTTTTTTTTTTAAATATATATATTTATATAAAGATTATATATGTTTTATCTTATATATATATTACTTATATATGTTTTATCTTATATATATATATATATATATATTACTTAGAATCATATATATCGTGACAGACAGAAGGCCAGAGAGAGAGAGAGCACGAGTGAGAGAAGGCAAAGACGAAGGAGGAGACGATGACGATCAACAAGAAGGAGACGATCTGCGAGAGCGAGAGAGAGAGACGAACTGCGAGAGAGAGAGAGAAAGACGATCTGCCAGATAGAGAGAGAGATGATCTGCCAGAGAGACGATCTGCGAGAGCGAGAGAGAGAGACAATCTGCCAGAGAGAGAGAAGAAAAACGAAGCAAAGAAGCAGGACATACCCAGAGACAACCTTCAGGTTCTTCACCTTCTTTCTCCTCTCTCTCTTTGTTGACCAACAAGTTAGGGTTTTTGTTCATAGCCACCAACGATCCCATCTTGAACAGGATCGCGTTTCTCTCTCTACAGAAACGCGATTCTTACACATTTTTTTCTAAGAAACGCGATTCCGCGTTTCTTACGGAGATTCGTCACCTGGTTGCACGATTCTTGCAACTAAGTCCTGGATTGGTGACTGAGGTCATGGAATCGTCAAGATAGTAGTCTTCTTTCTAAGTCAACTCCATCTTGATCAAGCTTGGAGAAGAGGCAATAGTGACCTTACACTTACACCACCTAATGCATATATGATACGTTGTTCTCTCATCTGCCATGATATGTTGCTTTCTTGCCTGCCATCAAACCAGATGACAGTAAGGCTTATATCACTTCTGGCAGAGTTGGGAAGAACGAGCCACCTGTCAAGTAGGTTGATTGGGCTCTAATACTCCGAGAGCCTATATAACATATCATATATGTAGTAGGCAGTCACAACCACAACTCCAACACAACACAGATTCACAACACACAAGTCCTATGCTTAGACACTCATACTCACACTTGAATACACACTCAAACATTAGTGGCCTCCTCCTCTTCTTCGGTGATCTCAGGCCATTGAAGTGACCACCATCTTCCTAGAGGTCAACAATCGACTACCTCTACACACACTTCACCCACAATGAGATTATTTGACCACTATAGTTTCTTATTTTTTATAGTCAAACATTGGGTTTCAATAATGTTACATACAAATTACTTAATACCAAAACTATTTATGCACAACGCCAACACAAGAAAGGAAAAAAATATATTTTCCCCGTAACAAGGGGTATATTTTGATTAGTAAGAAAACAAAATTGTGGATTTCAAATAACATAACTAATTTTTAGATTTTTGTCGAGAAGTGAAAGAATTTTTGAACAATTTCTTCATTTTTATTTTTTTTTATCACATTTATGATGTAATTGTAGCATCATGGTTCATTTTGGGTTGACCAACATGAACCATTAGCCCCTAACCCCATCACTTTCCCAATTCAATCAATAATATAGGTTTTGAATCATTACCAAAGAGGCTCAAAATCAATCATGATGAATATAAATCAATATACTCCCCAATAGAACAATGGCAACAAGAAAAACATGAAAGACACTACTCACCTTAAACAAGACTCGCACCTCAGTGAGACAAACCTATCTGTTTTTACAACCACGTGGAGTGCTGACACAAATCGTTTCAACTCTATCCCTTTGTTCCATGATACATGTCTCGACGGAAATGTTGCATAAGGACCCTGAAATTTGAATGTCAATTGAGAAACATTAGTAAATTGCTCTAGATTGTGTAGTCATTTAATATTTAGAGCCATTCTTAGATAAATGATAGGGTAAATTACCAATAGGTCCTAATAGTTGGACTTAATTCCCATAAAATCCTATTGAAAATAAGTCTTAGTAAAACTATCGTTAAATATAATTTTTGTGTGATAATTTTTTATATATGTCGCTAAAAATTGACAATTAGTGACTTTTTTGTCATGATTTTTATAAATTGTCACTAAAACTTACAATTAATGACATTTTTTATGATAATTTTTTTCCATAGGACCTATTAAACAATAAGTCTACTTATTAGGACCTACACGTAAGTACCCCTAAATGATAAGCATTTCCAAGTAGAGTAAGGGGAAATTATTCAATATTCCTAGAGCACCACGTGTCTATACTTCCTAACCAATCATCATTCAATATGCCTTCTCATATTCCTCAATCATCTAACACAATACCTCACTTACCTACCTTTTTCACTAATCATAATATTATAGAATGCCACGTGTCTATGCTCCGAAATTACTAAATAAATCCGTAAGCCAACATGTCAAATGAAGGATAAATGTTTATGATATATATATATATATATATATAATAAAAACAGAATAAAATAAGGATTCATGATGCATAATCTCCATACACTTGTGCTTTTCACCGACTAATAAAAACAACGAAAAATCGCGGTCACTGCTTTATTTACCTGCACCTGATGGGTTACCAACGCCATTTTCTCCACTGCAAGCAAGCAATCATTTACCCAAAAATTTTTAAAAAGCGCACCTGACACTGCGAGCACAATGAATTTAGCACTATAAAAACACATCATAAAATCCCAACAATTCAAATTAAAAAAAAAAAAACATAACACAGCAATCCACCCATAAAACGAATGCAGAGTAAAAGAGGGCAAAATTCAAGCAAAACCAAAAGTTACAGGCGCAACTGAATCAAATATAGCAAAATTCGTACTAATATAAAGTTAAAGCATTTCCCAAACTACTAAGTAAGCGCCTTCCTTTCGTTCCCAAAACCCTAAATACCAATATCCTACAAATGTATATACACATACAACATACATATATGTAGAGAAAGAGAGAGAGAGAGTTGGGGTGCTTACAAGAGATTCTGATCTATACTCCTTGGCAAAAAGGGGAAGGGAGACAGAGAGATAATGATGATGATATATATGAGCTAACATAAATGTATATATATATAAAAATAATGGAGATAAATATGAAAGAGATGATTCAAAAAAAAAAAAAGTACACAAGACTTAATTGAGAGAGAGAGCGAGGAGGACAGAGGCATCATAGAAATGGTACGTGACCAATTGGAGAGGTGGGGAATCATTTGGTATTTAAATTAGGAAAAATACATATTAAAATAAAAAATAAAAAATGAAAAATGAAAAAAAGAAAAAATTACAATTTTAAATTTTAAAAATATTATGAACATTAATAATTAATTTTTTTCATTAATTTATAAATATTTGTGAAAAAGATACTAATTATTAATTTTTTTCAAATTATTAAGGGTTTTTTTTTCTTTCTTTTATCTGTGTTTTCCATTTTATATGAGATTTTTGAGAATTTCAGTATTCTCATTTTATAGTCGTTAATCTCATTTTAATTTTCCTCTTTATCACTCTTTTTTTTTCCACACTTTTTCTTCTACTTTTATTTTTTTCTTTTGCAAATCATTTTATTGCCAATCATTATTGATCATTTTCAGTCAAACCAATAAATGCGTTAACTCACTTTAGGGATGGGGCCTATTCGATTCATATCCATCTCGAATCTATCTTGGCCATGTTTGTTTGGGTGGACATGAGCTTGGGATTGGACTAATAGTCTAATAAAATTATTAATCAGATGTTTGGTTAAACAATTGAAGTACGGACTAATTATTTTAAACTTGACTATTAGTTAAGATAGGATACATAATCCAACGGATTCGTAATCCTAGGACTATTAATCATGGGAATGCTAATCCAGTCCGCCCAAACAAACATGGCCATAGGGTAATATTGGACTATGATGAAGAGAATTACCCAAAAAAGACTGATGAAGAGCATAGAGTAACTGCTCCTCAAACAGGTGATGAAGCTGATGCAGATAATGAAGAGGGTAGTATGTAAATCAGATGGTGACAAATAATTCAATTCAGGTTAGTTAACATTTGGAGCAGTACGACCCTCAAACCTAGCTCTCCCAACGGTGCAAATACACACCTATTGAAGTTGCATCTCTCACATTATCCTGTTTCACACATTACCCCGTAGCTCCGTGCTTCACACATTTTTCATCCCCAAAGCCACATCCATCAAGACATCCCATTGAAGCATTGAATTCCACCACATTTTCGATCCTCATTCGTATTTAGGTTAGTTTACTTTTCAATCCTCATTCCTATTTAATTTGTAATGTAGAGTTTTGTTTTTACCATTTTCGAAACAAACCCACCGAGTGTAAACAAGTTGTTCGGAATTGGTTTTCCAAAATTAAACAAGTTGTTCGGAAGTAGAAATCCGAAAATAATCATTTATTTCAACAGTAGATTTTCGAAATTTTTTCATTATTTCGACAGTCAACTTCCGAATATTTTTAATTCGGACAACATTTAACTTTCGAATTTTTTTTTTTTCGGTTTTCAACTTTCGAGCATAATATATACTTTCAGATTTCAACTTCCGAACAGTTTGTTTGTTTGTTTTTTGTTTTTTTTTGTCCCCCTTCTTTTGTATATTCTTTTTACAATTGTATAGTCATTAAACATTAATTTTTGCAGATAATATGGATTCTTAATGTCAACAACGTGTCCCACCTACTGCTTCAAATAGACGACGTCGTGAATTGGATGTTGACCATGAATGGGGACGAGGGCATGGGCGAGGTCGAGGTCGAGGTCGAGGTCATGGTTGAGGTCGTGATCCAATTTCGGTAGAATATGGTATCCCCAGTGCCAATCAAAGTTGGAGCCGAAGCCAAAGATGAGTTCAAGGTGATGATATGCCTGGCATTGCTGTAGAGGATGCCTCTTTACCCGATTCTCCTACTGTCTAGGAAGAGGACCTTACTCATGCTTTTCCAGGTGGACCAACTGATCCATCAATACTGCGGAGTTTCAATAGTCATGTCGCTGTAGCTATTTAGCACGGGGAGGTAAACATTCCTGAGTAGAAGTGAAATTCATTTGTATATGATTTTTTTTTTTTTTGTGTTGTATAGTAGTTTCTAATGAGATATCATTTGTGTTATAGGAATGAGGGCCCCTAAAGTGTCATAATCACTCTTCGAAGATCCTTGCATGGCCATTGTGGTCAGTAGACAACAACAGTAGATTCAAAGCCATTATTGAGCAGTCTGGGCTATCACAGTTAGCTCATTGCACTTATCGGTTTCGTCAACAAGCTTCTAATATCCAGTTTTGTTAAGAGATGGCAACCTGAGACGAACACATTTCATATGACAGTTGGTGAGATGACCTTTACCTTGGATGATGTTGGCACTATTCTTAGCCTTCCCATTGTAGGCAGATCAGTCAACGTACCAAATGTGACGGATCATCATGGAGTTACACTACTGGTTTCTGGCTTGGGGATTACTGAACGTGTAGCACATGACAAGGTTTCTACTGCTGGTGGGAATTCAGTCAGGCTTGAGTGGTTGCGAAGTCAGTTTGCTGGTGTTATAGATTCAGACCCAGAGGAGGCTATACAATGCGCTACTAGAGCTTATTTGTTGTTTCTGTTAGGATGTACGCTCTTCAGTGACAAAAGTGGCGGCAGGGTTCCTGTTGTTTACCTTAGCTTATTAATGGATTTGGGATCCATTCATACTTACGCCTGGGGTGCTGCTGCATTAGCATTTTTATACAGACAGTTGGGGTATGCTAGCCGGTCCGATGTTAAGCAGATGGGTGGTTATATGACTCTTTTGAAGGTGTGGATTTATGAGCACTTCCGAGCATTTCGACCTCACTAGAACATGGGCTACAATGAAAACATGCCACACGTGTACCATTGGGCATCTAGGAGAGAGACGGGTTCCTCCATTGAGCATTTGAAATCTTTTCGAGCGGAGCTTTACAGTTTGGTAGCGACTGATGTAAGTTTACTCGTCCTAAGATAAATTTAACACTTTCCATTTATCTTACCCTTTGTATACTTTAATTCAAAAACACTTTATGTTTACAGGAAATTTGGGATCCATACCACAGTTACAGAGACCGGCATCTATGTAACCCGGTTACGTTCTACTATGGATACTTAAAGTGCTTAGACGTGGTCGAACCCTATCATCCAAATAGAGTTCTGAGGCAGTTTGGCAGGGTTCAAACCATCCTAGATGCACTGCTAGCTCCCAGTCATGGTGCTCGAGGCAATATATCTGCACGATATACAGTCATGTATAGATACTTGGATAGGATCTGGGAGGCTTGGGATAACCACGTGTTATTGAGCAGCGGAGGAGCACACCAGTTCATCAGCCTTGGGAATGTGTACTGAGTTACATGGATTGGTTTAAGAATATCATGCACCTATATGTTGAACACATTGATGAACCACATGTCCATGACCATCAGGATTTTCAGCCAACATGCCGATGTAATATATTATCCTCTTTTATGCATTTGTAACTTACTTTTTATTTCTTGATATGTTCCCTAAAATGTGATATTCTTTTCAAATGCAGCGTATTGCACATGCACTGAGGATTACACATCCTATCATTCAGGCTGGTTATGAGGACGGGATTCAACATCCTCATTGACTTTACCAGGCTATCAAGGCTATGGCGCATGTCCTTAAAGGTCAGCACATTGACGAAGCTGGACCTAGTTGTACTGGAGGTCGCTTTTCATCTCCGACATTGACATACAGTCGTAGGCATACAGTTGATTCATGACATGTTATTTGTTAGTTAATGAATTTGTTGTGGTGTTTTTTGTAAGATGACATTGCTGTAATGGTTAATATTTTCTTATTAGAATGGAATGGCAACAATGGTTGATGACATTAAAAATGACATTTTATTATTAGAATGGAATGGTAACAATGGTCGATGATTTTGTAAATGATATTTTATTATTAGAATGGAATGGTAACAATGATCGATAACATTCAATCCATGCCACAGAACACATCAACATCAAAAACACATCCATTAATTTCTTCCATAATTGTAACATTGTCAAATGCATACATGTGTCATGCAACATCAACAACATCCAATATCTCTCGAGTAGCTACAGTATCGTGAATAATGTCTTTGAAATGTTGAATGCGGCGCACATATGCATCATCCCAGTCGACAGTGCAAGGGTGACGGTATTTTCGCCAATTAGTGGCTATAGAAGGAACTGGATGGCCTAGCTGCAAAAAAATCTGCACCAAATTTCAATTGAGATAGTGGTCATACCTCATAACTTCTTGTACATACACAAATTGATAAGTTTCTATTGTACCTGGACGAAATGATTTCCGTTGACAAACCCAATGGCAATCTCACGTCTATCAAGTTGAGGTACTGGCACTGTTTTAAGAGGAAAAAAGGTGAGACATTGATGTAATGACAAGTGATATAACACAAGATTATAGCGCGATGCAACAAGATGCCCTATGTCTGGCATAGTCATCCAATCATCCAGGACTGTCTTCAAAGTATGACAATATGCTTGTCAATTCTTCAAACCTTTCGTAGGACCCATAAAGTGTAATGTATTCCTCTTTGTGTGTATGCAGCTCACCCAAAAGATCATGCCTAACTTGAGCCCAATCATCTTCTGTATGACCAATTGAAGCAACTATAGCCCTGAAACCACAATTCTCATCTGCAGCTACATCATTGGCAAACTTAATGTATGGTTTCAACCCAGAAGGAAAAGCATCAACATATGCACCAGGTATCACTGTTCTAGTAATGTACACCTTCCCCTTCACATTCACCTTCCCCTTTTCCTTAATAGGTCGCTTCTTCTTGGTTTCCAGAGTAGAAACTAATGTAGTGATTTGAGTGTCCCTAGGTGAGAAGGAATCATGTCTAGATTATACCAACTCAAATGCACACGATTCACAACGCGTAGAAACATTGATCTTCTTATAATCCCGAGGACGTGTTTTGGGCTTCACCTCCGGCTCAACAAGAAAAGTGCTTCCCGAACATACAATCTCTTTCAATTTCTTCAAAAGCTCCAACCGCATGGTTCTATCACTTTCATTGAACTTTTTCATAAACAACTCTACTTCTGCATGACAAGTCACCTCC